CCGGGTGTCGGGGTGCTGGAGGGACCTGGTGTCGGTACTGGGGGACCAGGTGTCGGGGTGCTGGGGACCAGGTGTCGGGGTGCTGAGGACCAGGTGTCGGGGTGCTGGAGGGACCTGGTGTCGGGGTATTGGGGGACCGGGTGTCGGGGTGCTGGAGGGACCTGGTGTCATGGTGCTAGAGGATCTGGCATCCGGGTACTGGGGCTCCAGCTGTTCAGGTCCATGAGGGTCTTCTCCCATCCCCCACCCAGCACCTCCTGGAGCGCTCCTGGTATGCAGTGACTGAGACCTGCCTGGCCTTCACGGTCTTTCGGGATGACTTCAGCCCCCGGTTTGTGGCACTCTTCACCCTCCTCCTCTTCCTCAAGTGTTTCCACTGGCTGGCTGAGGACCGCGTTGACTTTGTGAGTGAGGCAGGAAAAGGCAGTAGTAGAGAAGGGGGGCTGGAGGGGGGGAGGATGTGGAGATGGACAAATGGGAATCCTGGGCAGAGCCCTCATGCCACTGCTCTTCTTGCCCAGATGGAACGGAGCCCCAACATCTCCTGGCTCTTTCACTGCCGAATTGTCTGTGAGTGGCCCCTGGATGAAAGAAGTGGGTGAACCTGTGCTGGCAGGGCAGGAGAGGGATGCTGGCGGGCTTGTTGCCCTGTATAAGTGGGGAGGAGGGCAGCGGAGGCCTTCCCTGTCTATCTGTCTGTCTCCCCTGTCCCTGTGAATGGTACTGAGAACAAGGCTGGGCCTCTGCCTATTCTGAGAAGTGCAGCTGGACCAGAGAGCTAATTTGAGAAGTTCATTTGCATTCTCTCTCCCTGCCCTGTTCTACTCCAGGGCACTTCAACTGCCTTAAATCCCACAGAGACTTCCTCATGTTCTGCCTGCTTACCCAGGAGCTCCCAGAGGGCACCTGGGGTACCCACCTCCCCTAACATTGACCCCAGGGCCGAAATGTCTTAGAAGAGGAAACCAGCCCTGACGGGTGCGTGCCCCGATCTTATGGCTTCCCTCAATCCCCTGCAGCCCTCATGCTCCTCCTGGGTGCCCTGGACTTCCTCTTTGTCAATCATGCCTATCACAGCATCCTGACCCGGGGGGCCTCTGTGCAGCTGGTCTTTGGCTTTGAGGTACTGATGGGGCTGGGGGGCAGAGGCGGGGGAGGGGGAAGGGAAGAGACAGGAGTGCCTGAGGGTCCTCTCTGACCCTGCCATCCTCCTTCCCTTGACAGTACGCCATCCTGATGACCATGGTCCTCACCATCTTCATCAAATACGTTCTGCACTCAATCGATCTGCAGAATGAGAACCCCTGGGACAACAAAGCCGTCTACATGCTTTACACGGAGTTGTTCACAGGTGAGCTCCCCAACACCCCCTCCTCCTCCTCCTCTTGGTGGGGGGGGAAAGAGCTCCCAGCACTCTCAGCGCCTCCACGTGCGCCCCTCCTTCCCCTCAGGCTTCATCAAAGTTCTGCTTTACATGGCCTTCATGACGATCATGATCAAGGTGCACACGTTCCCGCTCTTTGCCATCCGGCCCATGTACCTGGCTATGAGGTAGGCCTCTCACAGCCCACACTGCTGGCTACGAGGCGGGCTGGGCTTGCTCCTTGAGGGTAGGGACTTCCTAGTAAGGAGCCATTGAAGATTCATGAGCAGCAGAGTAGCACCTGGCCAGGCCTGTACTTGACGAAGATCTGTGTTGCGGGTGGCAGAGAGACCTGGGTGGAGGAAGGCTGGCAAGTCAGCTAGGGATGAAATGATGGGGGCCTGAGTGATGAGAAGGGTGTGGGTGCATGGATGCAGCAGTCAGAGGAAGCTCCTTGAAGCCTGGGCCCTGGCCCCGGGGGAGGACTGGGGGCAGCTTTGGAGGCCTGACAGGCCCCTCCTGTCTTGCAGGCAGTTTAAGAAGGCAGTGACCGACGCCATCATGTCTCGCCGAGCCATCCGCAACATGAACACACTGTGAGTGCTCCCCTTTGGTGCAGACTCCTCCCTTCTGCACCCTGGGCCCCAAAGACCCCAGCTCACCCGGGCTGGTCCTTCCTCAGGTACCCGGACGCCACGGCTGAGGAGCTGCAGGCCATGGACAACGTCTGCATCATCTGCAGGGAGGAGATGGTGACCGGTGCCAAGCGGCTTCCCTGCAACCATATCTTCCACACCAGGTGAGATGGGGGCTGGCGCTGGCTTCCTGAGCCACAGGGAGGAGGCAGGTGCCAGGCCTAAGTGTTCTCACTGCCTCGGATTCTGCTTTTACAGCTGCCTGCGCTCCTGGTTCCAGCGACAGCAGACCTGCCCCACCTGCCGAATGGACGTCCTGCGGGCCTCGCTTCCTGTCCAGTCCCCAGCCGCCCCGGAGCCTCCTGAGCAGGGCCCCCCACCTGCCCCCCACCAGCCCCCCATCCTTCCCCAGCCCCCCAACTGTAAGTACCCCGGGCCTCCACGGACCCCAAGCTTCCCGCTACTCCAGGGTGGCTATCTGTGCACCCCAGATGTTGCCTCTCATCCCTTCCACCTGGAGGACTGGAGTTTCTAGGCCCCTGTCCTTTTCTGCTTCATCCTCTCTCCTTCTCATTGCAGTTCCCCAAGGCCTCCTGCCTCCATTTCCTCCAGGGATGTTCCCCCTGTGGCCTCCCATGGGCCCCTTTCCCCCCATGCCACCCCCCAGCAATGCAGACGTCCCGCCTGCCTCACCTTCCACCTCGGGTGAGTCTGGTTGAGTGTCAGAAAGCAGCTCTGTCTCCTGGACTCTTTGGTTGTGATGGGTGTTGACATGGGCCTGTCTTGGAGGGGAGAAGGGAGCCTGAGTTCCTTAGCCCTGGGCCTGAAAGGGTAGATGAGGAGAATGGGAGGAGAGCCAAGATCTGAATCTGCCTCTGATGGTCTGCGTATGTCTGCTCTTCTGCAGCCAGCGCCTCTCGGCCCTCCCCGGCTCCTGGCTTTCCCTTCCCTCCTCCCTGGATGGGCATGCCCCTGCCTCCGCCGTTTGGTAAGTCAGGGCCCTCGTGGCTATCCTAGAGCGACTGGGTTGAGGTTTACGGGACGAGGATGCCCGGGCTCCCTCAGCGCCTTGGTCAAGCCCTCTTCTCGCTCTGCAGGATTCCCCCCCATGCCAGTGCCCCCAGCAGGCTTTGCAGGCCTGACCACTGAGGAGCTGCAGGCCCTGGAGGGTCACGAGCGGCAGCATCTGGAAGCTCGGCTCCAGAGCCTTCGGAACATCCACACCCTACTGGATGCTGCCATGTTGCAGATCAACCAGTATCTCACTGTGCTGGCCTCCCTGGGGTAAGGCCCTGGGCTGGGCTGGGGCGGGGCACCAATGATGCTCAGGGCCGGGCCCAGCCCTCAGCCTGCTCTGCTTCCTTCCTCAGCCCTCCCAGACCTCCTGCCCCTGCCAGTCCCCCTGCGCCATCTACGCCTGCTGCTGCGGCCTCCTCTTCCAGCAGCATCCCCAGTTCTGAGGCGACCCCTCCCTCGCCAGGGGCCTCCCCGCTTCCCCCTGAGCCAGTGCAGCAGCCGCCAGGTCCGTGTAAGAAATCTCCTGGGGGGAGATGAGGGGGGCACGGGACTACCTTGGCGGAGCTTGACCTTTATTCATGACCTTTGACCGCTCCCCTCTCCCAGCTGCTGAGTCTGCTGGGGTCGAGGACCTGTCAGAAGACGCGGAGCCTGACGCGGTGGAGCTCCGCCGCCGCCGCCTGCAGAAGCTGGGGTCCCCCGCTTGTCATTGACACTGCCCAACCTCATCCCGCTCCCCAGTCTTGTGTTTTGACTGTGGTGCCCTTGTGCGTGGGTGAGAAGTGGATCCCACCGCCAAGTGCCATCTCCCCTGTCACCAGGCTTTGGAAAAGAACGTGAGATTCTGACCCCCACTGAGGCCACTTGGGAGCTCCTGAATCCAAGTCACGTGGCTTGGGCTGTTTCCTTGCCCACTGGAGTGGGCTGGAGGCCTGGTGGGTCAGTCTCCTTCCTGACCCTTCACTCACCCCCCGCAGCCTCCCTTAACTCCAGACAGAGTTGGGGCTGTCGAGGTCTTTGAGAACCCAGCTTCCTGCCCCATTTACTGCTCCTCCATTTGGGGGGCCCGAGAGAAGGGTGGACACTCTGAAGACATACTCCCTCAGGGGCTGGAAAGGCCAGCTTAAGAGAGAGGGAGTCTCCCCTGTTCCCAGCAGTATTAGCTCAAGGCAAGCCGGTCTTCAACGGCCCCCACCTCCAGCAGCCCCTTTGTAGTAAGTAGCAGTAGTGCCCTATGTCCTGTCGGACTCCCGTCCATGTCTTACAGATGACCGTGTCTCAGGAAAGTGAGTGCCGGGGGTAGGCGGGGGTAGCCCACTGTGGCTGGCGGGCAGCTCCTTGGGACTTCTCCCCTCCCGTCTAGTGACTTGACGGGATGTTGGAAGCACCGGCTTCTCCAGTGTAAAGAAGCTCGTTTTTCTTCTCCCCAGGCTGGGACAGAACGAGGCCAGCCTCTACAGTCCCACACAGGGACGCCTTCTCAGCTTTCTGAGACTTCTTGATTTGGGGGGGAATTTCTTGTTGCTGTCTTTTGGTTAAAACCCAACCTTGAAGCTTATTTCCAGTGTAAAAAACAGCACCTAGCCCAGCAGGGAGGGAGAGGGAAAATTGCTCATGGTTTCTCCAGATTAGACATGGTTCTGCAGTGGGGCGGCTGGGGAAATAAAGCCAGGGCTAGGCCTAGACTCACCCATACTCCCCTCTTTCCTTTGTTCCCCTTTGTTTTGTGTGTTAACAAAAGTTGCTGGAGACAGTTTCAGATTATTTAATTTGTAAATATTGTACAAATTTTAATAGCTTCAATTGTATATACGGCCAAAATAAAAACTTGCATTAAAGTTGGTGCCAGGTTGTGCCATGGTACCCCTCCCCCTGGGCATTCACGATGTCGTGTGATGTTCTGTCGTCTTTGCCTTATCTCATGCCCGGCTCGCCTTCCTGATGATGCTGCTGGGTCTGGATCTGGTCTCTCACTTGTGGAGGCAGCCACCCCTTGACTAGGGCCTCTGCCACCTCAACACTGGCTACCTGAGAAATATTTTTCATTTCAGGGAAATTTCCCTGAAAGATTCCCACTGGGGGTAGAGTAGTCTTGACAAACCCTTTCTGTTCAGAGCCCCTTGGAGACTTCCCAGCCACAAATGGGGAGCCGCCGGGCCTTCCAGACGGGTGGGGGCTAGCCTACGGGATCCAGTTTGCCCTCTGACCCTCAGAAGCCCTTCTCCAGGAGCCAGGCCTTGAGCTGCTGATGAAAGTAACCCTTGACACGTAGGGTCCCCGTCACCTCATTGACCTGTGTCACAGGTGCCTTCCCCAACAGCAGAGTCAGGAATTCTTCCACATCTTTCTGCAGGGCCTAGGGGGGCGAAGAAACCAAGCAAGCCCAGTGCTTGCCCCTGCCAGCCACCGTTCCATATCCCATGTTTCCCAGCCCTTGACCCAAGACCCTCCTACTTACCCAAATGTCCCCCTCCACCTTTCGGATCAGAGTCATTTGACGGTTGCCGTGTGTGAGCTCGGTGTAGACGGGGACATTGTGCATCCGGGAGCGACGAATGAAGTAGGGGAGGTTTGGGGGGGGATCTGTGACAGAAACCAGTGTGCACTTAGCTGGTTCCCCAGTCCCTAGATCTTCGTGCCTGACTGCCTATCACAAAGGTGAGGGCTGGCTTGGGTCCTGCTTTAAGGAAAGTCTTCCCTAGAGCAGAGCTCAGCATGCCCAGGCCTTCACATCTGGGCTCAGCCAGCCGAGCATTTACTGATTAACGTGCCAACATAATGTGTTAAGCACCAGGAGAAGACATTCCACCCCTACCCCCCATCTTCAGAGACAAAACCTGGGGCATCATGGACTCTGTGGTACAAAGGGTGGCCCACCCCTGCTGCTCCCCCACTCCCTCGATTTCATCTCCTGGATTTGGACGAATTTCCTGGCCTTGTTTGACAACCACAGGGAGGAGCAGGCAGGCTCTGTAGGGTTATCAAAACACACAGTAATCCGGGGCTTCTTCCCTGAGCACCCAGAGATGGATTTCTAGAGGTCCAAGAATTTCCTTGGGATCTGGATTTCAATCTACCTGACTTCCTTTGTAATCCTGTGCATTTAAAAACATTTTCCTAAGTTCCCAGGGTTCACCAGACCGCCCAAGGGATCTAGGACTCATAAAATGACAAGAATCTGAGCTCTGATCCCCATCCCATGTCTTCTCTACCAAGGAGTGTTCATGAGGCCAGATGGACATGGGAAATCCTCGGGCCTGGGCCTGGAGGATGTCTCTCCTCCAGGGTTACAGGAGATCAAAAATGAGGCAAACCACATACAATGAGCTGATCTTTACTCTGGGGCTTGGCTCACAGTTCTGAGGCTGACCGGAAAGAGCACTGGATTCAAATGCTGGCTCCTGCTACCTGTGTGACCCTAGGACAAGCCTGCAGGCTTCCTTTGTCTTAGAAATGAAGGGACAGGATGGCCAAGATTATTCCTGGAGTCTCTCGCACCCAAAACCCCAACTTTCTTCCTTTCTCCCAAGGAGCAAGCCCCACAGCCCAATTCTCTGCTTGCTCACCTTTTGGAGGCTGCCAGCCACTGGGCGTGGGGTAACTCTGGTGTCTGGGGGGCTCTGGGATGCTGGCAGGAGGGATAAGGCGCTCCACAAATTTGTACTCCTCTGTGGACTCCACGATTCCAGGGTAAGCAGACGGCTCCTGGGTCTGGCTCTGAGACAGAGACATCAGTCTTCGCCACTGCCCACCCGATGCCCGCCTCGGTGACTCCAAGGCAGCAAGGCTGCAGAGTATGAACTCCTCAGCTTGGGACCTGAAGCCTCCACAATCGGCTTCCAACTACTTTTTCCATCTCATCTAAGGAAACTAGTCCAATCATTTATCCTCCCTCCCTAGGATATACTCTCAGGGGCTCACTTTCCTCATCTGTAAAATGGGAAGATCAGACTAGCTGGCCCTCAATGTATGCTTCTCTGAGAGTCCGACGTGGGTGCACCTTCTACCTGCCCAGGAGGCCTTCACCTCCCTCCAATCCCAGCGCCTGAGTCTGCCTTGGAGAGAGAACTGAACTGCGGCCTGGCCATTCAGGCATAAGTACCCGAAGCACCTGCTGCATGCGGCAGGCGGCTCGGCTCCAGAGGAGATCCAAAAGTCGATTTCAGTGCCCAGCGGGCAAAGGCCCAGGCCCAGCTGGCAGTGGGACCCCGCGGGCGGGCCAGTGTTTGGCGCAGTTCCAGAACGGCCCGGGATCCGGCTCCTCACCAGCCAAATCCCTGCCTTCATTGCTCTCCAGCCCTGCTCCCGACTCCCCAGCAGCCTCCTGCCCCTGGAAGATGCTGCGAGACCCCTGGCTTCTCATCCCAAAGATCTGCCCGCCTGCACCAGCCCTTCCTCATGGTCAGCGCCTGCACCTGACGCGCACCTGCCCCAGGTGGGCACCTTCTCCCCTCTCCCTCCCCGTCAGTGGAAGCTGCATGAGGACACAGACACACACACACACAGACACACACACACACACACAGACACACACAGACACACACAGACACACACAGAGACACAGACACACACAGAGACACAGACACACACACACACAGACACACACAGACACACACAGACACACACACACACACACACGCACGTCCGTCCTCCGTCCCTCTGACCCATCCTGACCGGCAGACTCCACGCGAGACCCTGGGGGGGGGCGTGGAAGGGCGCCCGCCCCAGACACTGGGGGCGGGGAGGTCCGTCGGGGGGTGTTTCTGAGCCCCTTGTTTTACAGAGGAGGAAACTGAGGCCCAGAGGCGGGGCAAAGCCGCCCCCGCATCCGGGTCCTGGACCCCAAAGTCAGCCGCGGCACGGCAGCATCTATTAGGCGCTTACTGCGCGCCGGGCACGCTGTAAAGAGGCCCGGACCCGGGTTCAAGTGCGGGTCCCCGGCGTGACCTTGGCCTTTGTGGGTCTCAGTAACCGTCTGTAAAATGAGGGGGAGGGGCCTGTGACCTCGGAGGTCCTTTCCAGCGCCGACACGCTAAAGGTCAGGGGGTCAGCGGGCCCAGGCTTCTTCGGGTCTCAGTTTCCCCTTTTACACACACAGGGGCCGGAGAAGAGGCTCTGACGCTCGGGGCTGTAAACGACGCTTAGAGATCAGACTCCTCCAGAGGGTTCCCTTCCCCCCAACCCAGCCCGAAACAGAGGCGAGGCCGCGTTCACCTGCCAGCGGAGGCCGCAGGCCGGGCGTCCCAGCCGCCCGCAACCCCTTAGCCCGACGCGGAGGGCGGACGCCACGACAGCCACCGCCATGCTGCAGCTCCGTTCCCTCCGTGCGGGGGCTTCCGCCTCCTCCTTAGCCCCGCCCACTGCCCGCCTCGCGCAGGCGCCGACGCACGCGGAGCCCGGCCCCGCCTCCCCTTCCCTCGAGTCGTCGCCGGCTCGAACGACCGACTTCCTCCCCTGCGTCTTGCGCTCGCTCCCATTGGCTGGAGGGGACGTGCGCGTCGGTCTGCGCAATCACGCAGGCGGCACGGGGGGACGAACGTGCGCGCCCCCGCCTCCTCCCTCTCTTTCTGGTCTCCATCTTCGCCGCGGCGGAAGCGGGACTGTCGTGTCCGAGGTAAGTGCGGGGCCCGAGGCCGGGGGAGCGGGGCGGTCGAAGCACGAGGCCGTCACCGGGGCCGGCCTCAGCCCTCTCTCCTTCCGCGGACCCTTGCTCCTCCGAGCCCCCGCTCGCCCCTTCCCCGCCCCGGGCCTCAGCCGCCGCTTCCGTGTCCCCGCAGTCGCCGCCATGCAGCTGTTTGTCCGCGCGCAGGCCCTGCACACCCTCGAGGTGACCGGGCAGGAGACCGTCGCCCAGATCAAGGTGAGCGAGGCCTCCCGTGGGGCAGACCCCCGCCGGGGCGCTGCGTAGGGGGAGGGACGGGCGGAGGGAGCCCCCCAGGCCGCTGCGCCTGGGGCAGCCCCGAGCTCGCTGCCTCCCTGCCTTACAGGCCCATGTGGCATCCCTGGAGGGCATCGCTCCCGAGGACCAGGTCCTGCTGCTGGGTGGCTCCCCGCTGGAGGATGAAGCCATCTTGGGGCAGTGCGGGGTGGAGCCTCTGGCCACTCTGGAAGTGGCTGCTCGGATGCTAGGAGGTAAGTGACGCTGTGCGGCTGGACACGCTCGAAAGTTAGAAAGCGTTTTATTTAACTAGCCTCCCCCCTTCCCCGTGGCCATCCCCTTCTACGGGTTTAGTTTCTCATCTCTTTGTCCTGATAGGGGCAGTGGTCATTTTCATCAAAGAGTATCCACCCTGGGAGGGAGGTGGTGTTGCTCCATTTTACGGGTGAGGAAACTTGGGCACAGATGACTTGCATCTGTCCACAGTCATATCGCTAGTGAGCAGGATTTGAACTTGGATTTCCTGACCGCTAGTCCCATCTCTGCATCCACTGAACCACCTTCTTGAGTGATCTTTGCACTGATCAGAGTTTAGAGTGGTTACTTTCTACCAGTCCGGTTACAGCTGAAGTTGTTCTTCGGGTTTTGTTTACTTCACTGCCTGAGTTCTGAATCCATTAGTAATTTCTTAAAGCATAGTAGTATGCCATCATATTCACGTGCCATGGATTTGTCCAGCTATTCCTCGGTTTCTAGGGCCTTGCTACCACAAAAAGCTGCTTTCGGTAATTTTGGTACATAACAGGTCTTTGTGATATCTTTGGATCTAGGCTTTGTATTGATCTCATTGGGCCAGAGGGCTTATATAGGTTTGTACTTTGGGGGCATAACCCGAACTCTAAATTGCTTTCCAGTTTGGCTGGACCGACTCACAGGGCCACCTTCATTGTTCCTCTTCTCCCATCACCTTTCAGTTTTGCCCATCTGATGAATGCAGAGTTGCTTTACTTTGCATTTCTAATTATTGATTGTGGGACACTTTTTAGTTTGAATTCCTTGAGATCTGCCTGCCCGTATCTTTTGATGATTTTTCAATTGGAGAATGATTCTTAGTGTTCTGAATTTGGATCAGTTCCTTATATAGCTTGGTAATAAGGCCTCTGTTAGTGAAGCTTTCTCCAGATTTTTCCCCCTCTTATCTTTGCCGTATTGGATGTTTGTGCAAAAACTTTTTTAATTTTTGTAATCAAGGCTGTTCATTTTACCTTCTCTTATCCTCTTTATTCCTTCTTTGGCCATGACCCTTTCCTGAAGGTAATTTGTCTCCTTCCTCACATTTGTTTCTGACTCTACCCTTTGTTTCTAAGTCAGGTAGTATTTGTACTTATCTTGATGGAATCTTTAAGCAAACACTAAGCAGTTGTTCATCTTTGGAGCTTGCAAGTCCTTAATATGGCAATATTTATGCCCCTAGACCAGCTGGTGCTTGCTGCCTGCTCAGAGTACTTTCTTCCCTTCATCACTTTATTGTGCAGTGGTTAGCAGCATTGACTTAACCAGATAAAACAATTCCCATGAACTCAGTTCGAGGGTCTTTTAACCCTCAGATCCCAAGTCCGTGGATTTCAGTGGCTTTTTTCTCTTTGGAGGTCTCAAAAACAAGGATGGGAAATAAGTACTTTTTTGGAGCTTTGAACTAAAGGCTAGTTTATTTCCAGATGCTGCAGTTTTAGCATTGGTCTGCCCATTGACCTTGTGAAAGCTTAAAAGTATGTATATGTAATTCTCACGATTTATATCTGTCTCATTTCACCCCTCAGGTAAAGTCCATGGCTCTTTGGCCCGAGCTGGAAAAGTGAGGGGTCAGACTCCCAAGGTGAGCCCAGGGTCTGGGTGGCGCTATTTGAATTTCAGTCACCCTGCACATGGGGCACTGGGTGGCATGGGGAGGGAATGGTCCGGGAAGCCTTTGTTCCCTTTCAATGTACCTTGTGCCTCTCGCGTAGCCTGTTTTCTGTCTTAACAAGACTAAGCTTTGAGAGAACAGGGACAAGATGTTAACTATATGGTGAATGGATGGAGTCTTTATTGCTTACTCTATACAAAGCATGATGGATATAAATAGTCAGAGTCTCTGCTCTCTGGCTCACATGCCAGTGGTGTAAAGTGAACACACATCACATAAGTACATTTTCATTCGAACCTAACAACCCCGTGTAAAGTAATGACCTGGGTCTGCTGTTGCCTACATGTACGCAGAGCAAGTATTTAAACGCCTGGAGTCTGCCTCTCTCGTCTTATTCCTAGGTGGCCAAGCAGGAGAAGAAGAAGAAGAAGACTGGGCGCGCTAAGAGGAGGATGCAGTACAACCGACGCTTTGTCAACGTAGTGCCCACCTTTGGCAAGAAGAAGGGCCCCAATGCCAACTCCTAATTCCCTGGTGCTTTCTGTCTGTCCCCAATAAAGCAGCTTGTGACTCTGCTGAGACTCATAACTGATTTTCTGGGGAATGGGTGTTGAGAGTCCTTGAAGAAAAAGGAGGGGAGCGGCAAACAGTAGAGGGCAGGATCTGCATGGGTGAGGAACTGGCTGAGAAAGCTGCCCTGAGCTTTCCCTCCGGGTTTGGTTATTTGCTGATAACCTGTATTTCTGTACTCAGCCTCTGCCAGTTTTGACCAATTAGTTGAAACTATGAAGAAGACAGAAACTGGAGCCCTGTTCTGCCAAACTCAAAATCCAGTATCAGGTGTTGCCTCACGCAACTCACAAGCTTCCACCTGAACTTTCTAACATCTAAAGCACTAGTTTTGTTTTCTTACCTACTTCAGCAGTGGAAAAGGTGTTTGGTCAGCCTTAAAGCAATAGGGACATGGGAGAAAATTAGTATGGAGTTGTGTTGGGTCGTGAGACGGGTAGGACTAGTTTTGACTCTTTCATCCGGACAGAAAAGGGTTGGGAACCATTGCCTCCCTCTGGCCTCTGCTTTTCTGCTCCCTCGGTATTGAGAAAGGGCTGATTTGACTTTAAGGGAGTTTCACAAAAAGATGTTGGGACTATTTAATCTACTCTATGGGGTTCGGTTGAAGGAGGGCTGGACTTGAGTTCAAATCCTCATCCTATATTGCTGTGTCAGCAAGGATCCAAATCCTGGGCTCTTGGCACCACACCTCAGCAGAGTGGAGCAAGGTTGACAGGAATAGACCCTTCAAAGATTTATAAAAATTAGCAAGTGCAATAGGGTGAGGGAGCTGTTGTCACCTGGAAAACATGGGAGTTTTAATGGACTGAAAGCAACGTGGAATCGTCACTGATAAAGGCCACCAAGAAAGCTTGGTGTCAGCCAGCAAGACCTAAGTCCCACTGCCCTCTGCCTTGGCCAGACACCCTGTGGCCCTTCTGTTCAGCTCTGGATCCCCTAGTTTAGGAAGGACAAATCAACGGGCCACCAGGAGGCCGAAGATGACGATGATGCCCAAATATTGCTAGCTGCACCGTGGCAGCAAAGAACTGGAAATAGAGTTGGTGCCCATAGAGGCGGCAGCTGCTCAATAATTGTTATTCATGTTTTTGTTTGGTCACGTCCAACTCCTCGTGAGCCTGTCTGTGGTTTTCTTGGCAGAGATACTTGCCATTTCTTCAGCTCGTTTCACAAATGAGGAAATTTGAGGCAGAGTTAAGGGACTTGTCCTGGGTCACATAGGACGTATGTGCACTAAGATCCGACTCCAAGCCCAGCACTCTATCCACTTCGCCGCCCAGTGCCCGTTAAATAAACGTAAGGAACGAAGCCTGAAGAGTCAGGAACGCAGTAATTCCCTGATTCGCTCTACAAAAGCGGAATAACAAGCGCCGAGGGGTAGGCCCTGACGAGCTGCCCCCTCCTGGGAGTCCGGGAGAGTCGCCGGCGCCCCTAGACTACGAGTCAGTTTCTTTTTTGTTAGTTACAAAGGAACGCTCCCTGGATGGGGGAGGGGGCGGGAAATGTCTGCACGCACGGCTAGGAAGGGGGCTTAGAATTTGTTCTGGGTGGCCTCGAGGGTCGACACGGGGGGCCCGGCCTTCTTTCCTACAGTAAGGGTGTTTCCCACCCCACAAGTGTTTCAAACCCGTGAGAAGTTGGAGGGGATTTCGCTGAAAGTTCTCCAAGAAAAGACAAGCCATCGCGCTACCCAGGCTCCCGGCACCCAGGACTCTGCTCGATCCCGCCCACCAAACTGCGAGAGCCAATCGGAGCGTGGCGGAAGCGCGGGGGCGGAGACTTCTACGACCACACAGCTAAGGGTGGCGCTGGCGGAAGTGCTTTGAGGCCCGACGGAAATCGGAGGGCAGCACTTCCGGGCCCCGCGAAGGCCGTTACCATGGAGCCCGGGGGGCCGTGTGGGCACTGCCCCCCAGGCGAGGCGAAGCCGGCGCGCTACACCTGCCCCCGCTGCAACGTGCCCTACTGCTCGCTGCCCTGCTACCGGGCGCACGGGGCGTGCGCCGAGGCCTTCTACAGGGACCAGGTGCTAGGCGAGCTCCGCGGCCGCACCGCCTCACCCAGCCGCCTGACGGGCGCCCTGCGCCGGCTGCGGCAGCAGCGCGAGGCCGAGGCGCCGGAGGAGGGTCAGGGCCTGGAGGGCCTGGGGGGCCTGTGGGAGCGACTGCAGCCCGCCGAGAAGGCGGCCTTCGAGCGGCTCCTGAGCCGGGGCGAGGCCGGGCGCCTGCTGCCGCCGTGGCTGCCCTGGTGGTGGAGCGGCGGGGCGCGGGCGCCGCTGTTGGAGGAGCTGCGCGTGCGCGAGGAAGGCGCCGAGGACTCTGAGCCTGCCCCCACCTCCGAGGACGTGCTCGAGCCCAAGGCCCAGCCGCCGCCCGTGCCTGATACCATCCCCGCCTTGGCGCGGCTCAGTGGAGGCCGCGCGCCTTCGCCCCTGCTGCGCTTCCAGTTGCCCAACGTGCTCTTCGCCTACGCGCACGCGCAGGGCCTCTACCACGGCGGCCTCGACGACGACCCCGAGCTGCTGCTGGACCAGTGCGCCACAGTGCTGGGCGTGGCCGGCGCGCTTGGCGCCCGCCAGGCCTTCCACTCCACGCGCGAGGCGCTACATGCGGCTGCGCACGCGCTCAGGGCCGGCGCGCACCCGCCAGGGCCGCTGGGCGCGCGGGGCGCCATGCGCGAGGCCGCGCGCCTCCTGCTGGGCGAGAGCGCGCAGCCCGGCGTGCAGAAGGGCTACTCCCTGGCGGCGCTGGCGCAACTGGCGCGCGCGTTTGGGCGCGCGCGCAGCCTCGTGCCCGCGGGCGAGCAGCGAGAGCGCCTCTACCGAGCGCGCAAGAAGTGCCAGTATCTGCTGTCCTGGACCAACGAGCACGAGGACGCGCTCACGCCGCTGGCCTTGGACTGTGCCCAGGAGTACCACGCCGAGGAGGAGGAGGCCGGCCGAGTGGAGGCCCTGAGCGGGGAGCTGGAGCGCCTGTGGGGGGGCCCGCGCCCCCCGGCCCCGAGGACCCTGATCCAGGAGTTGGCCTGAGGGCAGCTGGGGCCCCCATCCCACCCCTCAATAAAGCCGCCTCGTTTCGAGACTGACCCCGCCTCCGGGGCTGTGTGTCTGTCTGTGCCGCCCCCTCCCCCCACCCCGGGCGCAGGGAATGACCAGCCTTCGGACAGGTCCATCAGCAGAGCTCTATTCACAGGCTTCCCCAGCTCCCCTTCCCTGTGTCCCGGGGGCAACTTCAGAATCATTCGCGAGTACATGCAGCCCCTCCTCCCTCAGAGGAGGAAACTGAGGCTCAGAGTGGGTATCTGAGTAGCCCAAGGGGGCATCGAGGGCCTAGAGATCACCAGGATGGAAGGGGCAAGCTGCAGGTGTCATTTCTTCCAGATGACCGAAACTGGGCTGCTGGGTGTGCTGTCTGGGAAGAGGCGCAGAGGGCAGGGCGCCCCCAGCCTTGTTCCTTCATGGGGCAGGCGGGCTCAGTAGACGTATGGTACTATACGGTAAGGCACCCTTGCACAGTATTCCCGCCAGGCCAGGCCATACTTCTGGAGACACTGGCGCTCATCCCGGTCCTCCCGATGCACCAGTAAGATGGTAAAGTAGACAACGTAGAAGTAGGGAAGCAGGTGTGTCACCCCTGCCAGAGGAGGGGGGATGACTTCAGCTTCTGGACAAGAAGTCAGTCTCCCATCGGAGGTCACCCTGCCAAACCCTGTCCAGGTCTCTTCCCCAGGGGTGGATTACCTCCATCCTCACCCCATTCAGTGACCCAGCCCCTCCTACCCCGCTTCCACAATTGCCATCTGGAATCATGAGCCTGAGGCCTCTCACCCTGACCCCTGGCAGCCAAACCTTTTTTCTCATCACAGCCAACTCACCGCAGGGCAGGGACCAGGCCAGAGCCATGATGAGGTCTCCAAGGTAGTTGGGATGACGGACCATACCCCACCACCCTGATACCAGCAGGCGCCGCCCAGTAGCTGTGGGGATGGTCTCAAGGCCTGGAGTAGACAATGGGAACCAAAAATCAAACAGGGAGAAGCCTAAGCTGTCCTGGCACATTCCTCATGTCCCTAGGTCCCAGCTCACCAGCCACACTGGGGTCAGTAGGGTCCCTCCGGAAGGTATTTTTCTGTGTGTTGGCCCCACGAAAGATAAAGTAGCCAATCGCTATGGGAGAAAGAAAGGCCTGATTTGAACAGGTCTGAGAAGATGAGTCTTCCTCACTTCTGGCCCAGCACTCTCCAAGGCACCATGTTGTCACCTGCTATGTGCTCTGTTCCTTGCCCATCCCCAACTAGACTATGAGACGTCAGGGTTGGAAGGAGCCTTAGACATTTCCAACCCCTTCATCGTCCCAATGAGGACACTAAGGCCCAGAGAAAAGTAATTGACCGAGCCCCCATGGTTAGCAGCATTGGGACTAGAAGCTGGGTCTCCCAATTCCTCTAGCCCCTTCCCCAGTAACTAACCAAATAGCAGACAAATGGCCCCAGCCACAGGCAACTCCAAAGACTGGGGATGATTCAGAAGGAACTGGGCTTGAAGACTGTAGATGAAGGGGACCCAGGCCAGGTCCCCAAAAGCCAGCATGAAGCCAAAGCCATCATGGATGATGTCCATGGTGGTTAGAATTGCCTCCTGTTAGGAGTGGTCATCAGAGCCTGAGAGAACAATTCCCCTTCTCCCCCTCCACCCCCTCGTACCCTGTACCTCCCGTTCTAACCCATGATCCCCAAGAGTGGTCTCCCACCCACCTCCCAGGGTGGTTAGGAGAATCAGATGGGATGATACTATCATTATTGATTATATCATTTCTGCCCTTGGGGCCCAGAGTGCGGACTGCCCTGTCCCAATTGTGCTCACCTCATTCCAAAGAGCGTCCACCACATAGACAAGCTGGAAGGCATTGACCAGCCCCATGGCCAAGGAAGGCCAACCCCCCTGGCGTTCAGCCTCCTGCAACAGCAGAGCCAGGTTGATCAGGGCCTACGCAGAAAAGAGGGGGGTTCAGCTGGCGTTGGAACTATCCCTGCCCAGCCCACACTTCTGCAGACCCTGAGAACCTGCTTGGAGCAACCTGGAGTCAAGCCAAGTGGATCAGAAAAGAATCTGGCAGACAAGGCCCAGAGTCAGGAAGACCCGAGTTCAAATCCAGCCTCAGATACTTAGAAGCTGTATGACCCAGGGCAAGTCACACAACCATTGTCTGCCTCAGTTTCCTTAATTGTAAAATGGAGATAATAACAGCACCTATCTCCCAGGGTGGTTGTGAGAATCAAATGAGATTATTTGTAAGGTGTTTAGCACGACGTCTGGCATAGAATAGGCCTACATAAAGGTTAGCCAGTATTATTATTGTTGTTGTTTTGTTAGGAAGTGGGGCCCCTGGTCCCAAGCTAAGCTGCTTTTCTCAGGCTTTTTATCTCCTTTTTGCCAGACAGTTTCTCCCTCCCATCCCCCACCTCTGTTAATCTCCCTCCACTTTCCTCCCCCTAAATCCAATCTTGGCAGGATGGGAACTTATGAAGTCAGAGGCACAAATAACAAATTGGGAAATCTAGGGTAAAGGACACATGGCAGAGATTCCTGTAACCATTTTGTGGCTTGCCCAGGGTCACCCAGGAAGATGGGTCTTCCCAGTGCCAGGCCTGGCACTTTACCCACTGCAGCGCCACCTAGCGGACCCAATGAAAATAATATGCCCAAGTTTATTTGCATGTTTTAAACCCTCTGTCTGCCTGAGCCTTCTTTACCAGGAGTCTGCTCGGCCCCTGGCCGGGAGCTAGCCCTTACCCAACCAATCATCCCTGGACGAAGCTCACAAAAATACTTGAGGTCAAAGGATCCGAATCGGGGATTCAGTTCTCTGCCAAGGAAGAAGTCGTAGATGATGTTACCTAGAGCAAGAAGGTGAGGTGTTCACTCAGCACCTGTTCCAGACTCCACTGAGGGTCTGGCTGGACCTCTGTGCTCTCCGTCTGCCTGGAGATCACGTGAGTCTCACCTGAATTCCCCCCGGGGGCGAGGGCTGAAGGCGGCGCTGTAAAGGACTTGAGGTAGAGGAGGAGGCTGAGGATGAAGGCTATAGCTGTGGCTGCTGAAGCCAACGGCAGGAGCAGTTCTGAGAGGCTCCCGAGGGGCAGACCCCCTGCCAGCCCCAGCCCCACCAGCAGAGCCGTCAGGCCCAGGCACCGAAACCCTGGAGAAGGAAACCTGGGTGCTCAATCTCAGGACGAGAGCCTATTCCATTCAGGAAGCCCGTGCCCAGCTCCCCCACCCCCACCCCAAAGCCAGGGCCCTGGCCTCCGGAGAGCCTCCCCAAAGTCATTGTGGAAGTCCCCAGGATCTGCCTCTCCACTACTCTTGGAGGCGTAGGCAAGGTACCTATGGAGAGGTGCAGTGTGTGGGGCAGTCTCAGACACAGGCTGCACCCGTTGGCTGGAGGCGATCCCATGCTGGGGTTCAGGCCACTTTCCAAGGATCAGTTGCCCCTCCTCATCTAGGAGTAGGAGCCCACCTTACAGGGGGAGCAATGGAGGCTGGGAAGTCTGGGCCTGTACTCCCTTCCAACCCCCTTTCCCTAGCACAGAGGGTGACCCAGCCTAGGTGAGATGGGATGTGAGTCTAGGTGGGAGGTAGATTAGCACCATTAATTGGATATTGCAGGTGGCTCTTGTCTCTCAGCATCCTGCCCTCAGATACCTGCGGAGGACAGAAAGCAGCTCTGAGGACCCTCCCTCCCCACTTCCCCATCTGCCTGACCCCTCCCCTCCAGGGCTCTGCCCCTCACCTTGCCCATGGGCAGCAGGTACAGTGTAGCCTGCAGCCCCAGCCAGAGCAGAAGCAGCAGCAGAGCCCAAGGACTCCAGAAGGCAGAGGTTGGGGGCAGCTCGGAGGGCAGGTTGAGCAGGCTGCAGGGGCCGGAGTGGCAGGTGAGGAGCAGGTGGAAGAGGACCACAGGGAGTAGCAGCAGCATGGCAGCCGTCCCTGCAGGGAGAAGCAACCCCAGCAGCTTCCCACCCATACCACCCTCTCTTGTCAACACAGTGCCTTACCCAGGGGCCTCCGAACTGCACCTCCAGCAATAGAGCCCTGCCCAAGGAGACCGACCTGCCCCGTCACCTGGCGTGCTGCCTTACCGAGGGACCCACCCCC